CACACGCCCTCCGATGACCTGAGAATAGAGGCCATAGCTGATAGCTCGTTGTTTCAGTGATTTCACGCCATGTTGCTTTCAATCAGGGGCGGTAATAAAAAAGGTCATATAACTCAAACGTTAATGCGACCCAGGGAATGTTAAGCAGCTGAATAGCTTGGTTTTTGTAACTCTGAGTTAGGACCCAAAATGTCTCAACTCCTTGCTCTGGTGAGTCTCCATGTGGTGACTTGACATGTTTCACTGAGCTCGGAGCCTAAGGTGACATATGTAACCGTCTCATTTGGGTCCTGATGAAATCTTGAAAAAAAACCCTCTGGAGTGCTGCCTACAGTAATCGCCTGCCTGTTAATTATTCACCATTAATAGAGATGGCCTCAGGAACAACCCAATTACCCCGAGTTAACTACAGATCAGAGCTTTTCCTGCAAAAGGGAACATTTGACACGATTAGCGGAAGGTGAAGGAGAACACAAAAAAACTGAAAAACTAAAAACTTCCTTTCAATCAGTTTTGGTGCATCTGACAAACAAAGAGTTGGAAAAGGCAACTCTGTAACTGGCAAACGTGGCAGAAACACACCACAACATTGCGCTGTTTGTGCTGGCAGATGTGTCCACAGCCGAGTTGGATATGACTATTCATGTGTTTATCTCCTACCATCATGACCAAAGCGATTCTATTTTCACCTGGTGGTCCTAAATGCTGCTGCCAAGCTTTTGATCAAGTCCTCCAAAAGGTCTCACATGACTCTCCTTTGGATTTCTACAAACCGGCTTCACATCAAATTTACAATCCAGTTCAAGATTCTAGTGATCGCCTTTAGAGCCTTGCGTGGTCAGGCACCTGCCTTCGTTAAAGAGCTACTGCAGCCCTTCATTGTCTTTTTCAGAAATGTAAAGAAATGGTTAGATGCAGCCCCCCGAATCCGCTGTCACAAAGGGGTTTTCAGACACTCACAAACAAGCCAACAAGCATGTTGTTTGACTGTTAGACGACTAACACACTGTGTGAAGGTTAGGGAAAGATTGTGGATTTGGTTAAATCTTTCAAAAGCCAGTGTCTTGACCTATGCTTCAACTTTTCTAATATTTAACCAAGATCAGGATCTTTACCTACATAACAACGTTAATCTCATTCATATAGGAGAAAATAATGAATCACGTTGACGGTGGATGTTGTGTTGATCGTCTAGCATCTTCAAATGGTGCAATCATGTTTCAAATGGATTGCAAAAAACAACAACAATGAGGCTGAAAATACAATGCTGTAAGGAACAAAACAACACGAAGGGCCAGTCCAGGTCCTCCCTCTATCCTTGTCCGCTACCTCACTAGTAAAAGTAATACAAAAGAAAAACATAATAAATAGAATTATTATACAACATTGTTGCCAAGTTGATGCAGAGCCCAAGGTCTCAAGGCAAAGAGTCGTGTAATGAACACAACGCTACGCCGTCTCTGCGCCCTCACCACGCCGTGTCGTCCTCCCACTGCTGCCTCGATCAAAAACACAATTACACCCCTGGCCTGCATACTAAATAAATAAATCCCAGTAAACAACAGCTACTACGCGGCTTCGCCAAGCCGAGCCAGCAGCCACGCTCACACACCTCCAGACGGGATGGACAGCGTTTCTGTGGTTGCAGATAAACTCCTGTTGGTGGCATTCCACAGGCCAGAGAGCAGTCTGACTGAGCTGAATCAAATCTCTAACACTATTAGGCCACACAAACGCGAACACGTGAACCGGACTGACTAGCGTAGCAGTAGGAGCTCAACGCACTGCTGACAGCTTCTGATTAGAAAACAAAGTAGTGGGAGCTATTTCTATACTCAGACGTAAACACAGACTTGGTGTTAACTGGATTTGACTGGTGGTTGATACAAGCACATATATTTAAATCAAAGTGAAAGACCTCAAGGTAATCTTGTAAATAACAAAGCCTCAAAATATTGAAAGTAGTAAATCTGAAAGCTTGTGCAAACTTTGGATATCCTGTTACACTCAGGGGTCAGCCTGACCTGGAGCTGCAGAGCAGATATTTGATTTCCTGCCAGGTTTCCGAGCCTTAACGTGAACTGACTCCAGATGGTGATGCACAGACACATTTTTATAGCCGTCCTTGTGTGGACCTTTCTTTTTTTACGCTCTTGTTTGGTGATGTTGACAGAAAGATTTGCCGCAGGAAAGTCAGCCTCAACACATTTAAATAACACTTAAATCAATTGAATTTAACACATCGTCAGTCAATTCCCTTAACCACCTACAGTATATGTCTCACTTTGGCGAACTAAGTCATCATTACTTTTCAAAAATAATATCCTGAGTTGCTAATAAACAACAAAAGATGATCAATTATTCTCTTTTATTAAAATATGCATATTGAAACATGTTATACAAAAACTCTAATCTTTCTATTGTGTTAAGCTCGTCTGGCAGTTACCAATCATAATCACACCGCCAAACTAGTGGAAAGGATTTTAATCTACGAGCTAGGAAAGCTGGGACGAGAATCTGCTCAGTTGAAATTAATATTTAACCAGACACAGACACTGTTGATGCTTTCTTAGCGTGTAGTGCTTTCTAGACATTGTTAACAGCCACTGCACTGCCATGTTGGTGCCACGCATTGAGTTCAATCACTCGGAGATTTGAAAGAATCCTCTGTTGGGCAGAGGTAAAAACAACAACACATGCATTGACACGGGATGAGTTACCTTGCTCTCTGCGTGGTTCAGATCAGGGGACTTGGCTGTCGCGTCCAGATCAGTCACCCCTCTATTGGGGTTTAACTCCTCTGCTGCAGACACGTGGCTCGCGTCATCCGCGTCGATGTCCGTCTCCTCGGTGACGGTCGGCGTCTTCTCGGCGCCGGTTAGCTCCCGAGCTGAGCGGAGGAAAGTACACACACATACAGGTGGATGAGCACGCACGCCTGCATACACACACACGTAGGCATGAGTTATGGCCACACGCACACATGGGTGGACACACATGAATACACTCAAGTCAGAAACATTATCCACAGAATCACAGTATGCTTTATGCATGATTATATGCTTAAATAACAGTGTACATACAGTATGTTTTAACTGTTTGGAGGTATACATCTTAACAAAGAAGAGCGATAGTACAATGCAAATACAAACAACACAATGCTGCAAAACACTTGCGTTTCCTGGCAGTTTCAATTTGGTGTTTTTAAACATAGCTCTCATATCCTGTTAATACATTTTTAATGGGACAAGTTAGACCAGATTGGATACAGACTGTGTTTTTGCTGAAGCAGTAAACATTAACAATGGCGATCAACAATATTGCCCATGTACGAGACAAAATCAAAGCAGACTGCAACAAAACATTTTATGAGGATTTATTTGAATTTTTACAACTTGGGCAAAGGCAACCATGCAATTCAGTGGAGTAAAACACACGGTCGGAAAATGCAACAATTTTTTAGCAGATCAATACATTGAATCACTTGAGAATTAGTCTCTCTGTGGGGAACCACACATTTGGTCTATTAATACAGTTATCCTACATATTCCAATAAAGTCAACACAAAAAAAAAGCCTAATATCTGGCAAAAGGTCGCGTGTTGAAGATCTTAAGACTGTCTTTGCCTTCAGCTGTCGGAATTGTGTTGAATATTTTACATTTCGTTTTGATATGCCTCACCAGGCAATTCACCAGAAAACAACGTTGACGCTGGTTGTCACAGTTGGAACACTTCTTCTCTGACTACAAAGCCGGAGGTTTTGTATCATCAAAGTAAATTGTAAAACATGGGAATTGTAGGTGCCAGTGGTCTAGTTATCATGCTTTATATTGGTTATTGACAACGGCCCCCTAGATAGAATTGCATTTGTTTCCTGACAACTTCACTGTACTAGAAATATAAGATTGCACTTGGAGCCACTGGGACCATGCTCAGTTAAGTGGCAAAGCTATTTCTAGCTAGAATAGATTGCAGTTACTAACATTCACTTCAGGCTACCTCTCACACAGCCTCCTACAGCAGGTTTCATTAAAAATGCAATAATTTTAAAAGCATAGAAACTACTCAAAAGAAGAGTGGGCAATGCCTGGTGCACACTTGAGGATTCTTTTCAAATCTCAGCTGATTTGAAAAAACGAGGAAAACCACGGACAAGACAACAGATTTAACCGACTTCGGATCTCACAGGAACGTATGTCTTCAAACATGACTTGAGAAAAAAAGTTTTAAAAGTTCGCTTTCGCAAAAACTCAAAGCCAATGCTAATGTTACCTATTGACATCGCAATCACAATGCTTCTCAAACGTAACCGGACCTGTGCTTAGTCGGGGATGAAAGAGGGGGTATTGCAGAATGTTCAAACTGCGTCATGTCTGTTTGATATGCAAACTTCATTGCCGATTCACTCGCACCAGATCTGATCGAGTATTGAATGGACATTTCTGCCTTCATCGGGTACTTCTTTCCTCCACTTGTCCTCTTTCCTTCCTGTCTTTCATTTTCATCGCCACTCCCGCTGCAGGCTCCTCTTCATCCTCGCCTTCAACAACTCACCTCTACTGTCCATCCCACATCCACCTGCATCAATTCCTCTCCTAACTCTTATACTCTCCTTCTTCCTTTCTTTGCAGCCTGCTATTCGTGCTGTCCTCCCCCTCCACACCTCATGCTTGATAACCTGCTGCCAGCACTACCCTTACCTCTTTCTCCATTACTGCTGCTCTTCCTCACCTTTCTACCCAGCTATCAGCACTGTGCTGTCCTGCCTTGCCTCCTGCCCTCTGTTGCTGACATGTCTTCCTCCATTTAAAGGTTATGTGTCATATGCTATTGCTCTTGTTTCAGGAGCATCACCTGATTGGCCTTTATTTAAAAGTTGATATTGGAGATAAGACAGGAAACATAGGAAGAGAGTCTAAAAATCAAACAGAATGAGTCTAAATAACCCGATCATAGGACTTTTTTTGTTCAATATATTAACATTTCTGAATATTGATGACATGTTGCTCATATGTCCTGTAGGCTTTAATTCCATAATCAGTACTTTGCGATCACTGAGCTGCTGAATGGAACCTCATGCCTATGGCACTGCTGTCTCATGTTAATGTGAACTGCAATGATAATATTCCACAGTTTGTCATTATTTTCCAGTGAGTGGGCTTTATTCATTTATTAGTATTCTTATACAGCTTTGTTTGTTAATAAGAGCATTTAATAAAGTTGTTGTGAAATGTTCCTGTAAAGCGTGGTAGGTCTTTATTCACTGTTACAATCATTTAAAAAACAGCCTGTGTATACATTCAGTGTGTGTTTAATAGCTAGCATAGCATAGACGTGCTAATGCCAGTAAATGTTGTCCACAGGTTACGTATTTATAACGTTTTAGAAACGTATATCTATATCTATCACTAGTACACGTGCCACAGGCACAACGGTTTACTATGACTAGCTTGGAATCCACAAAACCAGCCTGAAAGAGAGAGGAAAAGGAACAACAAATCTGAAACAATTACATGAGAAGATACGGAGCACAGCTGGTTGGCTGTCGGAGCCTGGTTGTAGCTGGCCGTTGCTATGCTATGATTGGCCAGTCTGCATTCGAGGGCAGGTGTTTGGTTAATGGTCAATTCACTTCTACATTTAATCCTTTCATGCTCTCTCGTCCTCAATGATCCCAAGCTCCCTTTTGCTCTCACATCCATCTCTTCTTCTTCCCCTCCACTATCCCTGCTCTCCTCCAGCTTTCCGTTTCTCTAATCCGCTATCTCACACTCTTCTATCCCCTCTCTGTTCATTGCCATGATAATTAGGTCTCCAGATAAGCCCATTGGCTGTGCGTGACGGCTCTTGTGTTGCTTAACACACCATGACAGCGAGTGCGCGAGTGTGTGTGCATAGGCCCGAGTTTGTATGCGCGTGGGGTCCTTCCATTATGGGTGGATGTACAGTTAAGAGTGTGTGGGTGATCTCTGGTCTCATCAGAATGTGAAAGAGAGCTCGTCTCTGGAGGGCTGGAGGGGGATGTGGAGATAACGTAAGTCGGCCTGGCACTGGCGGATCAGGGCGGGGAGGGGGGCCAGCACTAGCTGCTGTAATGAGTGGAACGAGGGTGTGAAAGAGCTCCAATCGTGGAGTCTTCCTACCGCTGAATCCCCATGTCTGTCCTCTCAGACGCCTCTCAGAGCCACGTGTCCCTGGGCTGCAGTGAGGACCATCCTGTCCAGGCACGAGGCAGCGGATAAAAGCAGCTCAGCCCATCAGTGTTGCTGTGTGGTGCCGTCTTTCTTTGGGTTGACTCATCCGTGACATTCATTCCAGCATCGCCCTCTCCTGCTCGCCAACTCGGGCACAACTCAGGCAGGAACGAGTCTGTGTATATGTGTGTGTGTGTAGCGCGTGTTCAGGCAGTTCAGTCTGTTTGTGCTATCAGAAAATATATGACTGTGTGAGAGGTGTGTAGCTGTTTGTGCACACGACTGAATGTGCCGTCAAGACTTCAGCTTTAGCATTATTTTTGGACTTTATAATACATTTCCACCATGGCCTTGAAGGTGAGGTTGCATATTTCTTTAGTTTTATTCCATGAGCTTAAAAATACCATTCCTTCCTGGTTTGTCTTTTTAAAGTGGTGAGTTTTGCTCGGCATTACTACTGGGCGAAGTCAGTCTTCACATCGGAGTGAATGGATCCCGGCTTCACCTAACTATGACTCCACCTTCCTATGACTCCATCTTCCTTTCTCCTCCAAACCCAAAAACCTACAAGCCTCTCTCAAAATCTTTAAAAGGAACACTAAGGCTTGCTACAACTTTGGTTGTATTTCTGTAGCTTCGGCCATCAGTTCTATCGGTAACGATAACATTACTCAACAAAACAATTGCTGAGATCTTGAAACTTGGTGACATTGCTAAAAATTAAGTTCTATGGCGCAATACGTTCGAGCGGTCAGACAATCAACAGGTGGTTTTCTATCAGGCCACCATTTTTTTTGGACCACCTGTACATTGATGATACAAAATATAATATGTTTATTAAACATGAGCTTTCCGGGGAAAAGGCCATACATTTAATGAGACGGCTGTTGATGCCGTCATCTTGTAACTATATCGATCACGAGATGGGATTGGTCAAGATCTGTGTAATTCAGTTCAGCAGGCAACAGTAACTGATTGATCACATTGTGCGTTAGCTTCACGGTAATTGATCAGAGCAGCATTGCAATGCTGGGAACCTTCAGAAAAACCTTCTGAATTGTTAAAAGTTACAAAAATGATGGGCAATTACTCCGAAATTATTTTTGTGACTATGCTATTCTTGCTGAATCTTTTCTCTTTAGGATAACAGTACAAGAAGAACTTTCACAGCCAGTGGTGGTCAGCTGGCAGTAAGAATAACACACTAGCTGATTCGCTAGGGAGCACAAGCTTGGACACCGCTGTCAGCTATGCCTCTCCTCTTAGTCACTTCGTGTTTTGGTAATAAAACTAAGACACACTCACATTTTTTCAGCTTCAACCCAATAAAACCACCACCTCTTCCCTTAGCACACAGAACACCAGACGGTGTACCTGCCTGCGTATTTTCTCTGTGCATGTTTGGTTGTGTTTTGTGTAAGAAAATGTAAGCGGAAAAAAATATCAGGACATTCAACAACTCCTCAAGGGCAGAGCAAGAGCCGGTGAGAATGTGATGCCGACTGTGTAGCGGGTGAATCTCACTCTGCGTGTGTTGGTGTGTTGGTGTGTTGGTGTACCTGTGACAGAGGAGTCGTCGCCGATCTTTTCGCCTTCCTCCTGTCCGTCTGCGTTCTGATGCGTGTGCAGCAGACTCAGTTTATGACAAACCTCGAACGCCTGGCCGACCGTCCGAACAATACGCATGGCCTGACTCTGGGTGGGTGGGAAAGAAAAGACAAAAATACCAATGCAGTTGTAATTCTCAGGACACAACCATTTGGTTCAAACCCCTCAATACTTTGCAGTGTTTCTAAACCAAAGTTCAAACATTGTATTCAGAATGTATGTCTTTTTTTCCCTTGGAGAACGTTTCTGTACATGGGGCTTTGTTTTATTTGTGATCTTGTGAACCAGTTCTTCCAAACAAACCAGACACAGAAAACCTCCCACTTCCAGGGAATTCTTCCAGGAAATATTGAAGTCCAGATGGTTTCCACTCTTGTCAGATGCAGACTGTAAGTAAATCGCCCCCAGACACGTTTTTTTTTTTTAACAATAGACAGTTTAAAACCATCTACAGTATATAGGTCACAGAGTCCAACAACGTCACCTGATGATATTACACAATTAAGTCTCAGAGGTAGAGGAGGTTGTCTGCATCCAAACTCAGTGATATATCAGAGTGTAACTTCTATTTCTGACTGGATTCTTCTTCCTTTGTCCTCAGGTGCAAAGAGCCGGATGCGTCTGCTTATCTCTTATCTGCCCAGCTCTGAAAAGGCAGGTCAAGTGAAAACAACTTGGGTGACTTCTGTCTGCTGTCAGCCCCCTCTTGTCTGGCTTGTGGCAGTAGAGAGAGGGTGCGGAGGCAAGAAAAGATTCAATTTTAAAGCACTGAGGCCTAGCCTCCAAACACCACTCTTCCTCAGCTGAATGAGCAGAACAGATGTAGTCTGGCCCGAAAAGCCAGAACAAAATCAAGACCCTGCCACAGGACATCCGATCCTTCCTTGTCCTGGTGAAAACCTCTGAACAGTATGCGACCCCAGGCTTAGTATCAGATGAGAAATATAATGTATTCGGCACATCTGGGTGTTACATTAAACGCTTAAACTGGTTTTGGCAAACTGTGATGTTCCTGGGCCTTGGCTTCAGTCCTCAGACGTTTTTGGGTTCAGAAAAACTCCACATATTCACTTTTCTGTTCCTTTGGGAGGTTTGTCTGCAGCCTTATTGTGCTCACAGTGAAATGTATTCATATTTTATTTCGATATCAACCGTGCTGCTTCAGCTTCATTTAGTGCTGGTGTTGTTCCCATAGTGATGCTGCTTGTATCAGCAGAAACAAGTCATGCCCTGATCTAAAAAAAACAAAAAAACTACAGACCCTTAGAGCAACAGCTACTTCCAACAGTGACTAAGCTGCCTTTGTGGACTACACTTGATTGTGTTTAGTCGCCCCGCTAAAGGCCACTGACAGCATGTGGTCACTTCAAAAGTGTCAGAGCCTTTCATGGCTGTATGCGGTCTAAAAGTTTTGATCACCAAACTCCCGAAACTACTTATGCTTCATTAGATTGTACCGACAATCTGAGAAGGAAGGGAATATTAATCAGGAATGATTCCCTGATGTGACATATTGTTTGAAATAATCATTAGTTACAGGCGCGGCAACCAGCACCAACTGACTTGTGTAGCTTCTGTATCAGACAGTAATAAATATCAGTGTCCATTAAAGCTAATTCAGAGCATCAAAAGGTGCAACCTGGAACTTTACAGCCTAAACCCTCTTTAGCTTCTAACTTGCGGCCCTCTGACATCTGTCTTGTCTCTCTTCCAATTTTCTGGCAACTAGTTTTAATATCCCGAAACCGATAAGACATGTCACTCTACCGGCACTGAGGAAAAGATAAGATAAATGATAGCCACTTGCCTTCAACAGCAGACTGCTGAAAAGCAAGAGATCAAACTAACGGAGTCAGTATAAAAAATACACAAAAAACAGTGTTTGACCTTCCTGTTGAGCGGTTAGAGATGCCCACATGCAAATACACTTTTTATAACCTTTACTCTCTCCTGTCTTGTTCTTTTCCTCTTCAGACCCACTGTTCGGTTTGCGGTGCTGTTCTTAATCACCTCCGTCTTGTCCTCTGTTCTCTGTGGACCCTCTATTCATGTCTTTTCAACCCACACTGGTCCTCAGAGTGACTGTTAACACATGTGTTTTCCTTTGAAGACATTTCCAGAGGCAGTCAAACACGGGATGATGACAGACACTGGTGTTATTCCGCACACCAAAGGCTCGAGCTCCCCTGACTCACCCGCTCCCTGATTGGGAAATAGAGAAGCTAACACAATAACCTCAAAGCAGATAGCCTCACGTCTCTCAAGTGGATCAAAGAAATGTATTGACTCGCAACAATCTGTTCAACTGCATCCATCTTATCCAAGCTTTTTCAGGTTTTGGCACACAAAGGTGTCATAATCCCACCAACAAAACCTAATTGGCTTCAAATATTTTGGAACTAGGAAAACACTCGTCATTGAGCACAAACCAGATTTAGGCTATGATTTAGAGGTCTGGAACTAAAGTCAACTTTACACTAAGAACATCACTGAAAACTACTGAGTTAAATACACTACACAGAGGAAGCGGGAAAGCTTCAAAAATAGGTTAGATTTAAATATTTTAAATTGAAGTTAGTATAGTTAGGAAGATCTCTTTTCATCAGGCACTTTGGGTCCAAAACTGCAGCTGGCAGCTTCACCGTAGTCTTTAATCTTTGGTGCGGTAAACAGCAGAGAGTCGGTGGATCTGAAGCTCTACAGACGTCGGGGACATAACTCTGGAGCATATCAACTACACAGTCAAGTGGGAGTACATATTCATACAACCAGGATCTTAAAAATCTATCCGAGAACTACCAGGAAGCCGGTGCAGGAACCGAAGGACAGCAGTGAGCTCAGTTCTTTGTTCCGGTTGCACTCCGCCAGCAGCGCTCTGTGGGCTCAAGCTGTTTTATAGACTTTTTGGGGTACACTGGAGAGCAATGTATTACAGTAGTTAAGCCTGATTGTAATAAAACCCTACACATGCTGTTTTGACCTTAACGATGGTCTTTACATTACAGAGGGCCGCTCTGAGCTGCATTCTTTGTGCTACTGAACACTAGACCAGAGTCAGTGACAACAGAAAGATGTCTCGCCTGTGCTGAAATGTGTTCACACACTGAAAAAGACAAATGTTTATGCTCCTATGACAATTCCCACCTCTTGAGATTAAACACTGTTTTATCCAAGTAGCAAAAGCAGAAAAGGTGTAACTTTGTTTAAACGTCGCAAAACTTTTAAGGCCGCCTTCAGACCGAAAAAACCCCGCAGCCCTCCTGATGGGACTACTTGTATCTCGACATTATATGCCCACAACCAATTCTCCAACGTATCTCCAATTTTGGCAGCTGACAAGACCGCTCAGAGATTTGGAACTCAAATGCAAAGCCTGCACATCCTGCTCTAAAAGACATGAGCAGCTCTTAAGTTGGACATCTGTCACCATCTCTGTCTAGAACTCTTCCTCTATGTCTCCATCGCTCTCCCCCATCACTTCTCCTCTCTGTCAATTTGACTGAGCAAATGTAGCCTCTCTGTATCTCTGTCTGTCTAGCTCTCTCTTCTCTATATATCACGCTGCCAGTGAGCTGGATCCCTGCAGCAGAAAAGTCTCTCTTGGCGGCCATAGGACAGGGCCTAGACAAAAGGCCGATGCATTATTTATCCCGGATTACCCACAGAGGTTCAGCGGTGCTTTCGCTGCCTTTCTAGAAGTCTTGGCACAAGCAAAGATAACGGACAAAAGGGAATATAATGCAATCTAGGAAAAAGCAGGGTAAACAATGAGAGGATGGCATGGGAGTCACTTCTGATTGAAGCTTTTCTTAACTCTTTCCTCTCTGTGGATGAGCTCATCTCTTTTCTTCCTGTGTGTACCTATAAACCACACCCTAAGAAAACCGCATACTCCCATCACTCTGTGCACACACGGTATTTGCAGTGCAGAGTAGAGGAGATTAACTCTGACGTATTCTGCTTCCTCTTATTAACTGTCTTACCTGGACTTCCTGATCACCGGCTAAGTACTCTAATCATCGGGGCACAGCCCGGCCTGACGTTCATCAAACGCATTGATTGCCTCGAGGAAATTAGCGGGACAGCCGGGAGCAATAACCCGGAGTGTGCGAGAGCACCGCAGACGGACGTTATCAGGGCCAGAGTGAGAACTATATCACGGCGCAGGGTTTGAGAGCGACTGAGAGCATGAGGTAAGTGGAGTGTGATGGAATGAAGTCATGATGCCTCAGTGACTCTTCAGGACCATTAGCTCGCTTTCCAGGCTGTGCACAAAGCAAGGGCTCATCTCGCTCATCTCACACACACACACACACACACACTCATCTCACACACACACACACACGCTCATCTCACACACACACACACACACACACGCTCATCTCTCTCTCACACACACACACACACACACACACACACACTCCGGAGCTATGCTAGAGATGGGTATCAAACCTTTTTCTTTTTTATATCAAATGGAAATGTGTCTCTAACGTTGAGTATCAAAAACTATCAAAAGTATTAAATGATTGATCAGATTCTGGTTTAGTTTGCTTTCTTCGATTAGATACTTCAAAACTTTATGAATTTTGGACTTGTTAAAGTTCTTCAATAGCTACAGCATAAGATGCTGAACATATGTTGGGACCGTATTCATATACACGTTAATACCCGGTTGTCACTGTTACCACAGACTAAAGGCTGGGTTCTAATGATATACGCTTTACTGCTAAACAACAGAATTACACAGAATCTGTTGAATAATAACCAGATAAAAGTTACATTTTGATTTTTACTCTTTTTTCTTTCTTTCTCCTTTTCAGAATTTGTATGAATGACATTTCCACTCATTGCATCCATCGCCAAGCTGAGCCTTCTCTTTCTTTCTTCCTCTGGAAGCTTCAGTCCCCCCCCATCCAAATCCACGAATTTTAGCTGGACTAAATAACCCAGAGGCGTGGAATGCAAGTATGGATGTGCTACTGTATGTTTGATCTATCTGTCCAAACCGTTCCCTTACTCAGACAAACTTGGAAAATGATTGCGGATGGTTATCGTCTATTGTTCTCACAGAAAGGGATCAGGTGTAG